CCAACCAAGAATACTCTATCCCGCAAAGCTCTCCTTCCTCTTTGAAGAAAGAATATGGACCTTCCCAGACAAACAGAAACTCCGGAATTTTATTACGACTAAACCCCCACTCCAAAAAATACTACAAGGAGTCCTAAAGCCAGAACCTCAGAGGGACGAATAACAACAAAAGAAGGCCAAAGAAAGTTATTAAAATAATAAATAAATAAAATCAAAGGAAAGACAAACACAATGGCAAATACAGATGCTAACATATCAATACTAACTCTAAATGTAAATGGACTAAACTCTCCAATAAAAAGACACAGAGTTGCAGGCTGGATTAAGAAACAAAACCCAACCTTTTGCTGTCTCCAGGAAACACATTTAGCTGCAAAAGATAAAAATAGACTCAAAGTTAAAGGATGGAAAACAATTCTACAAGCAAATGGACCAAAAAAGAAGGCAGGAACAGCTATACTCATATCAGATAAAACAGATTTCAAACTTAAAAAGATAAAAAGAGACCCCAATGGTCACTACATTATGATCAAGGGGACAATACTTCAAGAAGAAATAACACTCATTAACATATATTCACCAAACGAAGGAGCACCAAAATATATCAGACAACTATTGGCATCTCTGAAAACAGACATCAGAGAAAACACATACGTAGTGGGAGACTTCAACACACCACTATCAACAATGGATAGATCAACAAGACAAAAAATAAGTAAAGACACTAAAGCTCTAAATAAGGATCTAGAGTGCTTGGGCTTAACAGACATCTATAGAACACTAAACCCAAAAAAATCTGAGTATACATTTTTCTCAAGCGCACACGGATCATTCTCTAGGATCGATCATATACTGGGGCACAAGACAAACATCAACAGATACACCAAGATTGAAATCATACCAACCATCTTTTCTGACCATGAAGGCGTCAAACTAGAAATAAACCATAAAAAGAAGGCAAGGTACTCTCCTACCTCGTGGAGATTGAAACCCACACTACTGGAAGTCCACTGGACTAACGAGGAGATAAAAGAAGAAATTAAAAAATTCTTTGAATTGAATGACAAGGAGGACACCAATTTCCTAAATGTATGGGATGCAGCAAAAGCAGTAATAAGAGGAAAATATATAGCAATAGATGCTCACATCAAGAAACAAGAAAGAACTCAAAGAAACAACCTAATCTCGAAGCTCAAAGATCTAGAAAAAGAACAACAAAAAAAAACCCAAAACCAGTAGAAGAAAAGAAATAATAAAAACCAAAGCAGAAATAAATGAAATAGAAACTAAAAAAACAATCCAAAAGATCAATGAAACCAAGAGCTGGTTCTTCGAAAAAATCAATAAAATAGACAAACCCCTAGCCAGGCTCTCAAGGGCAAAAAGGGAGAAAGCACAAATAAATAGGATAATAAATGAAAGAGGAGAAATCACAACGGACACAGCAGAAATCAAAAGAATAATTAATAACTACTATGAACAGTTATATGGAAACAAGTTCAACAATCTAGAGGAGATGGACAAATTCCTACAACTCTACAATCACCCAAAGCTAGATAAAGAAGAAATAGTACACCTAAACAGACCAATTACAATTAGCGAAATTGAAATGGTAATCAAAAACCTCCCCAAAAACAAAAGCCCAGGACCTGATGGATTTACAAATGAATTCTACCAAACATTCAGAGACGAATTGGTGCCTATCCTTCACAAACTCTTCCAAAAAATTGAGAAGGAAGGTATAATACCTAACACGTTCTATGAAGCCAACATTACACTAATACCAAAACCGAACAAGGACAACACAAAAAAAGAAAACTATAGGCCAATCTCCCTAATGAACACTGATGCAAAAATCCTCAATAAAATTTTAGCTATCAGAATCCAACAGTGTATCCATAAGGTAATTCACCACGACCAAGTAGGATTCATTCCAGGGACACAAGGATGGTTTAACATCCGAAAATCAATCAACGTTATCCAACACATCAACAAAAAGAAATATAAAAACCATATGATAATATCAATAGATGCTGAGAAAGCTTTCGACAAAGTGCAACACCCATTCATGATAAAAGCCCTTGAAATTCTTGGGATACAAGGAACATACCTCAACATCATAAAGGCCATATATGACAAGCCAACAGCCAGTATCATTCTCAATGGTGAAAAGCTGAAAGCAATTCCATTAAGATCTGGAACAAGACAAGGATGTCCACTTTCACCACTGCTTTTCAATATAATACTGGAAGTCCTAGCCAGAGCAATAAGACAAGAGAAAGACATCCAAGGAATCCAAATAGGAAAAGAAGAAGTCAAACTATCACTCTTTGCAGATGATATGATAATATACATAGAGAACCCCAAAAACTCCACAGAAAAACTAATTCAACTCATCAATCAGTTCAGTAAAGTGGCAGGTTACAAAATCAACACGCAAAAGTCAGTAGCCTTCCTATATACAAACAATAAATCTGAAGAAGAAAAAATCAAAAAAACCATCCCTTTTATTATTGAAACAAAAAAAATCAAATATTTGGGAATAAATCTAACAAAAGAGGTAAAGGACCTATACAAAGAAAACTATAAAACACTGTTAAAAGAAATAGAAGAAGACACAAAGAAATGGAAAGACATCCCCTGCTCATGGATTGGGAGAATAAACATTATTAAAATGGCCATCCTACCAAAAGCAATATACCGATTCAATGCTATTCCAATCAAAATTTCAATGTCATTCTTCAAAGAAATAGAACAATTATTGATGAAATTCATATGGAATCACAAAAAACCCCGAATAGCCAAAGCTCTCCTGAAAAAAAATAGAAGGGAATGGAGGCATCACACTCCCAGACTTCAAACTCTACTACAAAGCCATAATCATCAAAACTGCATGGTATTGGAACAAGAACAGACATACAGACCAATGGAATCGAATAGAAAATCCAGAAATAAACCCACAGATTTATGGTCAACTAATCTTTGACAAAGGAGCAAAGACTATGCATTGGAGCAAAGAAAGTTTGTTCAATAAATGGTGCTGGGAAAACTGGGTCGCTACATGCAAAAGAATGAAGCTTGACCACTACCTCATACCATATACAAAAATCAACTCAAAATGGATTAAAGAACTAGACATAAGACCTGAAACCATAAAATACATAGAAGGAAATATAGGCGAAACACTACGTGATTTGCATATCAAAGACATCTTCACAGACACATCACCCAAAGCAGTGATAGTGAAGGCAAAGATCAACAGCTGGGACTACATCAAATTAAAGAGCTTCTGCACAGCAAAAGAGACAATAACAAAAACAAAGAGAAACCCCCACCAACTGGGAGAAAATTTTTGCACACAACACTAATGATAAAGGACTGATCACAAAAATCTGCAAAGAGCTGATGAGACTCAACAACAACAAAGAAAATAATCCAGTCAAAAAATGGACAGAGGAGCTAAAAAGAAACTTCTCTGAAGAGGAAATGCGAATGGCCAACAGGCATATGAAAAAATGTTCAACATCACTTGCAATCAGGGAAATGCAAATCAAAACTACCATGAGATACCATCTTACACCAGTGAGAATGGCACATATTAAAAAAACTAGCAACAACAAATGTTGGCGAGGTTGTGGAGAAAAAGGAATTCTTCTGCACTGTTGGTGGGAGTGCAAACTGGTCCAACCACTATGGAGAGCTGTGTGGAGATTTCTGGACCTACTAAACATAGAGCTTCCACAGGATCCAGCAATTCCACTCCTAGGTCTTTACCCAAAGGACACAGAAACATCAATTCCAAAGAACACCTGCACCCCTATGTTTACAGCAGCACTGTTTACAATAGCTAAGCTTTGGAAACAGCCCAAATGCCCAAAAATAGATGACTGGATCAAGAAGATGTGGTACATATATACCATGGAATATTACTCAGCATTCAAAAAAGATAATCACATGCAATTTGCAGCAACATGGATGGCGCTGGAAGGGATCATGCTCAGTGAAATAAGCCAAAAAGAAAAAGAAAAATACCGGATGGTCTCACTCATAGCAGGAATCTAGAATACTTAAATAAGGGACCAGGAAAATGAATAACTATAAGAAAGTGAAAATCAAAATCAACAAAAACTATGAACCAGAGACACTTTTTGGGGGGTGGGGGGGCGGGAGGGGAGGGATTGGGGTCAGAATGGGGGGATTGCAAATGTATGAGGAATATAAAAATAAAATTTATTAATTAAAAAAAAAAAAAAAGAATTCCTTTCCCTTATTTTCTCTTCTGCTTTCTTAATCCTCTCCCACTTTCTTACTTTCTTTCCTAAATAGTCTTTCACAGCAGCCAGCATCACCAAGTTAACTGTGAGGAGGGCCATCAGGCCAGAAGAGGCAACAGAGCACACGGATCAAGAGTGCTGGGTCTGGGGCCTCTCCGGTGGCGCAGTGGTTGAGCGCTGGGTTGTGAAGCTGCCTGCAGCCTCCGCAGCGCCTGTTCGATTCCCGGCCATTGGGCGAGGGTCCCACATGGCGCACAGACCTCTCCCGCCGCCCGCTGCTCCCCTCAGCAGTGTACTTCAGTCCTTCTGCCTGTTCTGCTCCCCGCTCTGGCAGATTCTCTCACCCTCCCGCACTTCTGACTGTACCCAGTGCTTGTATAAATAAATAAATAAATAAATCTTAAAAAAAAAAAGAGTGCGGGGTCTGGAGGTGAGCAGCAGGGCCCCCAGCTACAGTTCCACCACAGCAAGATGCTCAGGCCCTTTGTGTTGTCCTTGTCTAATCCATTCCACTCCTTCTACCGAATCCCCTATCCCTGTGCCCTGAAAACCGTTTGCCCTGCATTTCTAAAACTTGTGACCGCATAAATGGAATCCCTAATAGATACCTTTGGACTTTTTTCTCTGCATTAATCTCTGGAGATCCATCCCTCCTCACCATTTCACTGCAGCAGAGAACAGTCAAACACCCCTCAGAGATAAATGGACAACGATGGGACACATCGGGAGCCAACGTGTGAAGGAAACAAGTAGGAAAAACTTCAACTGAGCTGTATTTACTGCAATACCAGGACTGCACAGCCCAGGAGAGTGAGAGGCAGCAGCTGTATGAAGTGGTTGTTGACTCAGGGACACGTACCCACATCGAGGACTTTAGCTCTGTGCTGGATAAGGGGGCACACAGGGCCGACGTGCAGGACAGAAAGTGTACTACAGGAGAACGATAGCAGCAGGGTGCAGAGTGATGATTACTGGTTTGAATTTGAAGTTCCAAATATGCAACCGATGGACCTCTCCAGCCCTCAGGGAAAGCAGGGTCAGATCACTCGTGTCTCTTACAGAGCAGGATCTTCAAAATACCTACCACCTGTCCCTTCAAGGTTAAAATGGAAACAAATGAACACAATTCAGTAAACAGAATTTGAGCACCTGTTAACAAAGGAGCAAACACCCCAGGATAAAGCTATGTGCTGGAAAAAAGAAGACGCGTTGCCCAGAGCTGTGTCTAGTGCTCAAACACAGCCTGGGTGGAGGCTGATAGGACACACTTAAAGGCAACGGCTTCCATGTCTCCTGTACATACACTGAGCACCCCATCAGACGCTCATTTTAACTCTGTGGTAGTCAGATAACATCCTCTCCCCAAAAGAGGTCCACAATCTAATCCCCAAAACCAGTGAATGTGTTTGGTTACATGACCAAGAGGAATGAGGACAGCAGATGGAGTCAGTTAATTAGCTGACATTAATATAGAGAGATTATACCAGAATATCAAAGTGAGCCCAACGCAGTCATAAGGCTACTTACAAGTGGGAGAGGACAGCAGAAGAGAAAACTGAAGCGATGGCAGTGTGAGGACCGGCCAACATTACTGGCTTTGAAGATTGACGGAGAGTTCAGAGCCAAGAAGAGCAGGTGGCCTCAGGAGCTGGGGAAGGCAAGGAAATGGATTTCCCCTTAGAATGTCCAGAAGGAAGGCAGCCCTGACGACACCTTGCTGGAGAAGTTATCTGAAGGACTTCTGACCTTAAGAACAGTAAGATGATAAATTTGTGATATTTAAGTCATCATGTTTTGGTTATTTGTTACAGCAGCAATAGGAAACTAATATAAACTATCAAACATGATATTAAAAAAACTCATGAGGTGGAGTCTATTTACCCCTATTTTTACCCATTCCATTGTTCTATTTATCCCTATTTTTACCCATTCCATTGTTCTTTCTTCCTTTCTGAAGCTCTAGGTCTACTGTTAACATTTCATTTAGAGAATGTCCTCCAGTAATTTTATTTATTTTTTATTTATTTATTTTAATATTTTATTTTATATAATTCTTACATCATTTTTCATTTTTTGCACAATGTATGCATTTTCATTTTGGTTATATTCCCCAAACAATTGCACCCACCCCCCCTTATTTTTTTTTTTTATAGAGGCATGTTTTATTTATTTATTTGTTTGTTTGTTTTGTTTATACATGCACTGGGTACAGTCAGAAGCACGGGAGGGCAAGAGAATTCACCAGAGCGGGGAGCAGAGCAGGCAGAAGGACCGAAGTACACTGCTGAGGGGAGCAGCGGGCGGCAGGAGAGGTCTGTGCGCCATGTGGGACCCTCCTCTGGTGGCCGGGGAGCAGCCGGGGATCGAACCGGCGCCGCAGAGGCTGTGGGCAGCCTCGCAACCCAGCGCTCAACCGCTGCGCCACCGGGGAGGCCCCACACCCCCTTATTTTGACCCTAATCCTTCCTCACCCCGCCCTTCCTCCCCAGTAATTTTTTTTAATAGAATTTTTTTTTAGATTTATTTATTTATTTATACAAGCACTGGGTACAGGCAGAAGCGCGGGAGGGTGAGAGAATTCACCAGAGCCAGAGCGGGGAGCAGAGCAGGCAGAGTGACGAAGTACACTGCTGAGGGGAGCAGTGGGTGGCAGGAGAGGTCTGCACGCCATGTGGGACCCTCGCCCAGGGGCGGGGGATCTAACCAGCACTGCAGAGGCTGCGCGCAGCTTCGCAGTCCAGCGTTCAACCGCTGCGCCACCAGGGGAGGCCCCCCCCAGTAATTTCTTTAATTTATTTTTTTATTTTTATATTCCCCATACAATTGCAACCCCCTGATTTTTACCCCAATCCCTCCTTTCCCCGCCAGTAATTTTAAAGGTAGGTCTGTAAAGGTAGATGAAAGGCAGGTCTGCTGGCCACAAAGTCTAGTTTCTCTTTGTAAGAGAAAAAATTAAATATCTTTAATATAGATGTAATATAATATAACATCATTTTCTACTTAAAAATGAGTGAATCTAGGGCCTCCCCTGGTGGCGCAGCCATTGAGCCCTGGGTTGCGAGGCTGCCCGCAGCCTCTGCAGCGCCAGTTCGATCCCCGGCCACCGGCGAGGGTACCACAAAAAAAAATAAAAATGAGAGAATCTACGTTAAATGTTAAGTATAAAATGAAGGCATCCTAATGAGGCAGAATCAAGTAGAAATACAGAAACTAGTATCAAAACTCGACCGATTGAAAAAAGAGAAAGACAGGAAGACCGACAGGTTTGTAAGGAACAGAAACTGAAGTTTGCTGCAGCACAGTAAAATGAAAAAAAATCTGTTTTGCAAAAAAAAAAAATTTTTAAGTAATAAACTGGACAATACTGAGATATTTTCAGCAAATACACATCTCCTCAGACACATGTCACCTCACCCTACCAACCTCATAGCTATCTTTTCTTTATAAAGTCTGTTCTCACTGAATACTTTAGGTGTATAATAGAGTGAAAATGCGTCTGTTCATTTTAGACAGTTATCTGGTCTCATGAGGTGAATAAATTGGATAATACTTAAATCACATGACCCAGAGCCCAGTAAAGTAGCTGTAGGGTAAGGAAAAATGTCAGGCTTTTCTGCCTTCCCGCCAGCAGGATAGATGACGGATCTGCAGTGCTGAATGCAGGCCTGATGGCAGCACCTGGAGTAGGGTGTGGGCATAGGTAGATGGGATTCACCTGGGCTGAGACTGGGCTTTTAAGGGCGGCGTCATGGGGACGCCAGCAGGACCAGAAAGAGAAGCCAAGAAAGAAGTAGCAGAAGCCGAGAGAGAAGCAGAGAACTCCGGAGAGCCCGGATAAAACGAAGACTTGCTGGGGGCTGGAAGGCCTGCCAGCCTCCAGGCCCCCCAGTACCCCACCTGCTGTGTACCTGGTAAACCCCAATAAAAGCCTGCAAAAGCCACTAAGGGCTCCAGGACTCTGACTCCTCCTTTGCCCGGTCTGCTGGATCCTAGAAAACCTGCGCTGTAGAAAACCTGCCTTTACAGTAGCCCTTTCAATGTAAGACTTGCATAGGGGTTTGACCAATAATGAACAGCTACGAGTCTTTAGGGATAACCTCCAGACTCTGCTGCTCCTGATAGTACAGCCCCCAGCTGTGTGAAACTGTGCTTTGAAAGGTCAAACAATCTATGAGAAAAGAGTAAATTCAAATTAATTTCTTTCAATGATATATCATTCTGAGAGATGGTGGAGCCAAGGTTCAATCATTCCTTAAGATATATGCTCAACACTGGAGTTTTAAAGATAAATAAAATGCATTTGATTTATACAGTCCTACCTTGCTTTTTTTCCTGCAGGGAGAACTTAAAGAAGACAAAATGAATAAAATCTGAAACTTCCCCCATTTAGCAAGGAAAACATGTCAAAACTATTACTATAATGCAAAATAAAAGTATTATAACACAGATCTCTAGCAAAATCAGGAACATCTCATACATAAGGAGAAGAGATGAAAGTATCACATTTGATCTGGGGATGTGCTATTTGAAATATGCCTTGAGGCACTGGTTCAATTTCCAAAGACAGAGTTCTTTCAGGAAGAAGAAACAGCATAGCCACAAGTACGGAGCAGGGAAATGCAGGAGATACCCAGGTTGCAGGTAGCAATCAGATTAGGAAGATCTGGAGTGTGGGGTTGAGGAACCTGTGTTTAACTGTAGGCACAGAAAGTTACTTGAGGTTTCTGAATGAGAGTTAAAAGCAGAGCGTTTGAAGCCATATTTTAATGAAAAATGAATCTGTCAGAGTTTTGCAAAAGCTTGCAGCTCAAAGACTAGTCAGGAACCATGATGAGCTACATCTGGAAGCCTATCTGAAAAACAGAATTTTAGCACCCCCTCCCACTGAATCTCAACCTGAAGAGTAAACCACCCCCCAAGGGATCTATGTGCACATTAAACTTTGAGAAGCACTGGTGAAGAAAACAGTGGATGAGGAAATTTGACTTAAGGAGACCAGTCAGGGAACTAAGCCAAACAGTGATGAACAAAAAAGGTAGTGGTAGACACCAAGCAGCTGATGAGATTGGCCAGAAAGGAAGAAGCCACAGAGCTTTTAGGTCGGGTGGTGATACGCATATTTTGCCTGACTCATCTTCCAACCAGATTCTTTCTTATTCAGTAAAGCCATTGTTTCTCTTTTTTTTTTTTTTTTAAAGATTTATTTTTTATTTATTTATACAAGCATTGGGTACAGTCAGAAGCGCGGGAGGGTGAGAGAATTCACCAGAGTCAGAGCAGGGAGCAGAGCAGGCAGAAGGACCGAAGTACACTGCTGAGGGGAGCAGCGGGCGGCAGGAGAGGTCTGCGCGCCATGTGGGACCCTCCTCCGGTGGCCGGGGAGCAGCCGGGGATCGAACTGGCGCTGCAGAGGCCGTGGGCAGCTTCGCAACCCAGCGCTCAACCGCTGCACCACCGGGGAGGCCCCATTGTTTCTCTTTAATACAATTTTCTTCTATTTGTTCCTTCTATTCACTAGCAAGCACTGCTTCATTCTAACCATGCTCCCAGGCCATGGGAAAAAAGAGAAATTTTTTGGAGTCTGCTGTTAACGGATGCAGGTCGCAATCACTGCGCTACTACACACTGGAGTAAAGATTCACATAAAGAGATCAGAAGGGAGGGTGTCTCCTATGGTGCAAGGGGTTAAGATGCAACCTATAAAGCAATCCTCAGCCTCTCAGCACAAGGTCGATCCCTGCCGGCCAGGGAGCAACCCACATGGTGCAGCAGACCTCTCCTGACTCGCCTGCTGCTCCCCTCAGCAGTGTATTTCAGTCAGTCTGCCTGTTCTGTTCCCCGCTCTGTCTCTGGTGAATCCTCTCACCCCCCACACCTCTGGCCTATACTCCAGCTCTTGTATGCATAATAAATAAATCTTTTTAAAAGAGAAAGAGAGAGATTAGAAAGAAGAGAGAAGAGTGAAAATATCTTCTCTCTTATTTCAGGGTTTTCCTCCCTTCTGATTTTAATATGAATCAAACAGGTGTGCATTCAAAGCGTATGAGTGTGTCTTCATCAGCTTTTAATCATGAGCTTCAGGAAAATTCAGATCTCTCAGAAAGGGGGAAAAATAAACAGCTGAGCAGTGTGACTCATTTACACTTCAAATATACTTTGAATTGGTTATTCCTCAATTAATCAAATAGCTGGTGTATCCCTAAAGTAGTATAAAGTGACACGCTGTGTGAAATCAATTTTTCTTTCCAAAATCATTAAATCCAGTAGCCTGTGACTACATCCCTGCTAATTCTGGTACCAGTCCTTTCATCCTCCATTAACTTTGGCATGCCTAACAGGCTGTCAAGAATAATTTCCCAGGACGTAAATAATTCAGAAATTAAAAATTAATAAATAATAACAGAGAACTACTGGGAAATAGGGTGGGTCAATTAGTGCGCTCTGCATTCTGTTTCTTCGCAGCAGGGGGGCAGCCACATGTGTTACTTGAATCTTTCCTTCGATTCTGAGGTCTGATTTACAGCTCTTCATTACTGGATCCAGTCAGACACAATTACCTCCATCACTATCTCAGTTCCTAACTTCAAAGAAACGAACGTTTTCTTGTCTGCTTTTTTTCTCCTTGCAGCAGGCTCAGCTTGACATCCCTGGAATTTCTTCCACGCAGACTAATTAATAAGTCTTCGACTTATCATATTCACTTCTCTTCTTTGATGTGCTACCTTAGTCAATCATCCCATTTAATTAGAATTTCAATGATAACTTTACTTATCTTGTGGCTAGATGTAAATTAAAATAACTGGATTTTAATTCTCTTTCGTAAGGGGTTATGACATTTTGTAAGAAAAAGTTTCAACATAAACATGATATTATATTTTTCTATGCGGGGGAGGAGGAGCATTCTGCAATTTTACTTTTCCTCCTGCTACAAAATAGTAATGCTGCTGAGCAAGCAAGAGTGGAATGTGCTGCATTTTTCCATAACTTCATTTTACCAAGTCCTTCATAGGAAGAAAATTGCCTTAATTTGCATAAATAATTGGACAAAAGCACGGGACCCTGTTGCCAGAAAGGCAATAGCTATGTTCTGAAGCAAAAATATCTCCAGAAAGTCAAGGCTTTAATCTACCTCCACTTTTAACTATGTTTGCCCTTTTCTGCCAATCCACACTGTTTTCACTTCAGTAGACCTGACAGTAGCTACTATAACTTCTTCCCCAAAATACCACAAGGAAATAGAAAGTTTCTCTGAAAACACAACAAACGTAGTAAATAAAGTGCAAGATGTAACACAGTTGGTTAATTAGAGAGAACAGAAAGCAGCATTTCATTTCTAGTAACCAATACCAAGGTGGCCATTTAAGCTTCACCGTGGGGCAGCTCCAGGCACAGCTTCCCCTCGGGTCATTCTCCCAGTACGCTGGGAATTCAGGATAATGACCCCCATATTATAGAGGAGACGGTCTCAGCCACATAAACTTGCTTCCCTAAGGTCACTAAGGTAGCACTTGAGGAGGAAAAAAGCAGGGGAAGATTTTGAAGCCTTCAAGCACAGGTTGAAGCTTCCCATAATTCAGCTTGAAACTCTGTGTGTGCCAAACCCAGGTTCCTTGTTCTTTATTACAGAAACTCATCCAAAAGACATTCCAGGCATAAACCCACTGTGAGGTTTCAGCACAAGATATACCTCACAATACACTGCTGATGGTTGCTTCAACGTCTATAGACGTTGGCTGAAATTCAGTCATTGTAGTTATAAATAGTGAAATCAATCCTCAGAAATATATAATTTTTAAATAGCAAATATAAACAGAAGCTCTGGAATAAGAAACGAAGTGGCTCTGGCTCTCATATTTGCCTGCAGTATTTTTTCCCAGGAACACAATTATTAGCCTTTTTGTTCTGTTGCTTTCGAAAAAAGTTAGTAACAATGGGAACGTCAAGGAGGAATGTCACACAACTATTTCGTCCTTGATCTCTCAATCTTTCCCCTCTCCTGCTCTCAGTCACAATGCCTAGTAAGACAACAAACAGAGGCTGCAATGACCACTAGAAACTTATTTCATTAATGAGACATGAAACCACTGCATTAATGTCATTTTGAAGCCAACCTTTCAGGGATTTAATACAGTTGTCCTTTAACAATAGAACTTGGTTCATTTGCTACTTAAGACATGATTATTTAAATTAAAGTTAATTGGTTTCTTTACTCCTCTTTAGGGCTTTAGGCTCAGAACATTTCTATTAGAAAAATCTAATTTGTCTCAAATTCCTATTTCTAAAATTCAGAATAGTTAAAATGCTCTGGAATTTTAACTCTTTGTTGCAAAAATTATCTCTGAGTTACAGCTCGCACTGGCAATGCAATCAGAGACGCAGGTCACACAGTCAACTAGGCTTAACAGCAGTTCAGAAGGCAGGTATGTGGCTTCTGACAGACTGAAAAATGCCTGGGTCTCTCGTGCCACGTTTCTGGAAGTTCCCAGTACAAACTGAAACATGAAAACATGCCAAAACAAGATCACCAAGACCATGACACATTTTAAATGTTTACAGGGAGCCAGTTAATGCTTACAGAATACAGTGTAATATAACTGAGCTAATAAATCATGACAGGATTATTAAAATGCATTAGTTCATGATATACTATAGCATGGGACATCCAGGAATGGGGCAAAGCATACCAGTTCTACAATGAAAATCTCTCCGCCTCATTGCTGTATCTCAATTACTGCAAATGTAATCCCATCCCAAAATAATGTCACAGTTCTTCAAGCTCTTCTTGAATAGGAGGCTCAAGTCTAAAAGCTCTCTCTCACCGTTCCTTGACAGATCCCCAATCTCATTCAATACCTTAAAAAATATTTGTGAGTGCTTACTATGGATCAGGCACTGTTTTAGGTAATAAAAAAATATAAGGGTCAGAAAAATAAGATAAAACTCCTTACTTTGTGGAGCACAGTTCTAATGATATATAACAGCATATACTGAACACAGTAAATATATGGCATGTTGGAAAAGTGGTAAGTGCAGGAAAAAATAGCATGGGAACAAGGAGTACCAATGGAGGATAGAAAAACGTAGTTTAAAGCGTAGTTAGGAAAAGATCTCATTGAAAAAGTGACCTTTAACAAAGAAGTAAAGGAAATGAGAGTGAGCCATGGAGATATGGAGGAAAATCATTCCAGGCAGAAGAACAGACAAGAGCTGTTCCTGTGGAGTGAGACAGGGACACCGTGAGGTCTTCGGCAGATTAGAAAACATTCCCCACCTCCTCATACCCAAATATTATTCACTACATTAACTGCGCTAAGGAGAAAATGTCACTAACATCTTTATAGATGCTAAGAAGGGGCCTCCCCGGTGGCGCAGCGGTTGAGCGCTGGGTTGCGAAGCTGCCCACAGCCTCTGAAGCGCTGGCTCGATCCCCGGCTGCTTCCCAGCCTCTGGGTGAGGGTCCCACATGGCGCGCAGACCTCTCCTGCCGCCCGCTGCTCCCCTCAGCAGTGTATTTTGGTCAATCTGTTCTGCTCCCCGCTCTGGCTCTGGTGAGTCCTCTCACCCCCACACCACTTTGCTCCACAAAGTAAGGAGTTTTATCTTATTTTTCTGACCCCTATATTTTTTTACTACCAGCTCTTGTATGCATAAATAAATAAATCTTTTAAAAAATTAATGACTAAAAGCAAATCCTTGTGCTGTGTAATGTAATTAGGAGGGGATCAGCAAGGGGCAGAAACCGTGGTGCCATCCGGCCCCCCCTACTCTGGGCTCCCCCTACCCTGAGCCCCCCCAGCACGTCGAGGTATAGACCCAACTGGAAGCTGCACAGCATCGTCACCCACATACACGTCCTGGGCTCTCGCTGCCTCCTGGTTCACGGTGGTGCAAACTCAGGAACCCCAGCGTCCACACAGGAGAATGCGGTCTGCCGGCTCCATGGAATTCTGTGCAGCAGTAAGAATAAAACATAACGGGCCTCCGCGGTGGCGCAGGCAGTTGAGCGCTGGGCTGCGAAGCTGCCCGCGGCCTCTGCAGCACCGGTTCGATCCCCGGCCCGGCCGCCGCCAGCTGCTCCCCTCAGCGGTGTGCTTCGGCCCTCCTGCCTGCTCTGCTCCCCGCGCTGGCTCTGGTGGATCCTCTCACCCTCCCGCGCTTCTGCCTGTACCCAGTGCTTGTATAAATAAATAAATCTTTAAAAAAAAAAAAAGAATAAAACATAACGCAGAACAATTTATGAAAATCCAGGGGGCACCCCGGGGAGGCCCGGCGGGCGGGGAGGCTCAGCGCCCCGGCCCCTCCTCACCTGGCGGGGCGCCCGCGTGGCCCGCGCCGCTCTCGTCCGCCCTCCCCGGGGTCCTCAGTCGCCGCCTGCCCGGACGAGGCTCCAGCGTGGGGACCGGCGCCCTCGGGTGGGGCCGCGTGGGGGGGAGGGTCCGCTCCACAGGCCTCCTCAGCGGGCTCGGGGCGGCCGGGCCTGGCGCTCGGGCCCGCTCTGGAGGCGCAGCTGCGTGGACGGCGTCTCTGGGCCCGCGCGCATTCTCTGGGGCGGCCCGAGCCGCTCGGCCGCAGGGAGGGGGCTGAGGGCGCCCCTCAGAACGCCCGCGCGCTCGCCGCCGCCGGGGAGGCCGCACGGGCGCGCGGAGCAGGCCGGGAGCGCCTGGCGCGGGCCCACGGGCCGCGGCCTCCGCCCGGGCATGTCCGTCCCGAGCCGGGGCGCGACCCCCGTCAGGGCCGCCACGGGCTCCAGCTTCTCTGTGGAAACCGCGCGCCTCAACGGACGCCAGGGAAGAGGAAGGCGCGGGGGCAGCAGCAACTCCCCAAAGGTCCCCTGGTCCAGACGGGACTGGGGCGGAAACTTGGGGCGACCCCCATATTGGCTCAATTCGGGTGCAACATGTGGTAGGCCCTTTGAGAACAGTTTTGTCAAGTGACTTTCTTACGGCCCAGACCCAAGCAGCTCCTCCGTCAGGGCTTTGGTTTCTAGAGCCTTCCTCAGGAGCTTCTGAGGCGTCGCGGAGGCCCGCGAGGCGCGTGCCGTACAACATGGCGGCACTCAGAGCCACGCCCTCCCGCGGGGAGGCGGGGCCTCCGTACAACATGGCGGCGCGCTCTCAGCCGCGCCTCTGGCTCTGAGGTAAGTTCCTGTCCTGCGCGGCCATATTTGACCTTTGAACTCGCTAGCTCTTCCTCTTTCCTCTTCCGGGGACGGTGTCTGGAGGTATGGTGGTTCTTCTACTTCTCCTAGTTCTACTCCCTTTACGATCGGCCGCCATCCGGCGAGCTAAGGGAACCGGGAGCCTTCAGGCGCAGCCTTTGAGCTGGCGTGGGGGGTAAGGGCTCGGGAGGGAAGTCTAGTGGCGAGCAAGTCCCCGGCCTTTGGCTTGGAAACCCCTCGATTCGGACCGCCCCTCTGTCCGGAGTAACCGGAGCTCCCCTGCCGGGACAGTGGCGCCTTCGAGGTCTGGAGACAGACGAGCTGTGGTCTAGCTGGTTACGTCTCCGCGAAGTCACGCGACGGGTTTATGCCTTAGGCCCACATTTTCGCGCCAGCCTGGGAGACGTCCTAAGGATTTATGGGGGCGGTCGGGTCGTGGGCACAGAAAGCTTGCTCTGCCGGGGCCGGTGGCATGGGGGACGGGAATTAGGTTGGTTCAAATCTTGCGTGTGTTTTTATGCCAGCCGGGGTCACTCACTGAAAAGCAGCGTCGTTCGTGTGCGTATGTGCATAGTCGACTCTCGAGTGACGTTTTGTGTTATTTTGGGTTGCTAAATGAGACATTTAGTCCAGCCACGACCCAGTGACGTTGTTCTTGGTACCAAAACTAGTCTCGGCACTTCACCCCGATGCTGCCTTGGGGCGGGACACAGCCCTCGTCGTGTATGTGCCGAGAACTGTGTCGGCCGGGATGGCTGCTGTCATTTAATCCTGATGAAAGCTATGGGAACTAGACAAAAAGTCAGTTTCTGTAGATTTTCCCGGTATATGCTCAGGTGTGCTGTCCCTTAAAACCAGTTTTTCTCAGACATGCGTATTGGTAGCGCTTTGCAGACACCCCTTCTGACAGACCTTGAGCGAGAAGCCTGGTAATGTGAATTAATCAAGAGCCCCATTTGATTACCATCAAGAAAACAAACACTGCCTCTTACTCTTCTTACCAACCTGTGTGTGTGTGTGTGTGTGTGTGTGTGTTTTAAAACGTGAAATCTTTTACTTACACTCCTTTTTGCATAAGATTTTCCACGTAGAACTAGATACGGATGATGTATAAGTTTTATGATGCTGTTTTAAGTTGTGAATTCCATAATGCAGTTTTATTCCCTTATGTAGGCCTTCAGGATGGTCCAGCGTTTGACCTACCGCCGTAGGCTCTCCTACAATACAGCCTCGAACAAAACTAGGCTGTAAGTATGTCTCCGATTTAAAATACGTATTGTCGCTTGTGCTGCAAAATTCTGAGCTATTATCTATTCTCCCACTTCCAGGTCCCGCACACCCGGCAATAGAATTGTTTACCTTTATACCAAGAAGGTTGGGAAAGCACCAAAATCTGCATGCGGTGTGTGCCCAGGCCGTCTTCGAGGGGTAAGCGATCACGGTACTTGTAATAACAGAACAGGGGTGAATTTTTTACTATTTCTTTAAAAACCTACATGGAAAAGTCAGGGAAATGCCTTTGTGATAAATAGCCTACCACTTTTGTAATGTAGTTCAGTGTTTGTACTTACTACCTACCAAAAACCTAGGGCAATTTCTTTTTCTGGGAAAGCATCTCAAAAGAATCTCTATTTTCTTTATGCAGGTTCGTGCTGTGAGACCTAAAGTCCTTATGAGACTGTCTAAAACGAAAAAACACGTCAGCCGGGCCTATGGTGGCTCCATGTGTGCTAAATGTGTCCGGGACAGGTAAATATTACTGTTAATGTCAGTAGACTTTCTTTAGCATGTGTGTATTTGTGTGAGAGAGTGTTACACTGCGTGCTAAGCAGAATACTGTGAAAAATAAGGGAAGATCCCTAAGAATCTTTCCTTCACTGTGGGTATTTGCTACTATACAAATTAAAGGGAAGGTTACCACTTCAGATTAATCCAGTTGGAATTGGGGGGGCATTTTTGTGCTAGGTGTAGAAATTAAAAGGGCCTGAAGTTGGGGAGAGGTGAGTAGAAAACTGTTAGTAATTTGGTCATCAGGTAGATGGAGCAGAAGAGGAGATTCTGGTGTGGCTGCAGCAGAGCACTGCGCAGGCATCAGTAGACAAGAAAAGAGCAGATCAAGAAAGGCAGAAGGGGCAGATTTCTAGTTTAGGTCTCAAAGGTGTGGGCATTGATGTATTTTAAACAGGGCACAGGAAACCTGTGATATGCCAGAGATAAAACCCACGGGTGGTTGGTTAGTGAAGTCATTCCTTGAAAGAAAGGCGAGTGCTTGAAACATTTTCCATTTTCAAAGCTTAAAGAAATGATACTGGCTTTAAGATCAGCAGGCGGGATGCAGAGGGAAGTGGGGGTAGGAGCGTGTTCCGGGTATGGCACTTGGGTCTCTGGGATGTGTAAAAGTGGTGGTAGTGTCTTGGAAGCAGCGGAGTTGATGAGATGATCAGTAACGCTTGCTTAGTGTCTATACGATGAACACAGTCCACCAGGGCAGAGTTGTTCTCACTCTTGTTGGAATCAGGCCTCACTGGTTAAATTCACATAACTGGTGGGAAGGGGCAGTGCCAGTATTTATTGTCGGTGGAGACCCTTGCTCTTTATGAACCCCACTGGCTACTTTAAATTATCTCCAAAGAGAAGAGAAAGGATTTGAGAGGTGATAGGACTCCACAAGAAAAATTGGTGCAGAGGAGTAGTTGCTTTTCAGTTATTTCAAGTAGAATAATGAGTGAATAAATTTTAGGTTAAAGGTTCAGAGGTCAGTGCAGGCATTGATCTGTTGGGATTCTGAAGTGGGACTGAGAAGAGGTTGAAGGTGCCTTGGAGATGACTGGGTCATGAGGCTCAAACAAGTGGTGTTTGGCCCTTTGCCAGTCTTTGGTTCCCATACTTGGTTGACTCTAAGCACGTGGACACATTCATTGAAAACAAGGTTCACTGGCCCTAGTTCCTAAAGATTTAGATGTAGACTTATGTAGACCTAGGGATGGTTAGCATTACCTGTTGATACTGGACACATCTGTTTTTGCTCTGGGTAAGTTTAGGGCAATTGTTTCCTGAGTAAGGGTGACATCTGTTGTATTTCTCAAGTGTGATCATCTTGGAAATGAAGGTGTTGGAAATGCTAGAGCTTTGAGAATAGTTTACAGCCTTGGTGCCATGGGTGGGACAGGTTTCCCTGGAGAATGAATTGCTTTTTCTCTGGAGGTGACTTTGATTTTTAGCAAATGCTAGTGAGCATGTATGTGTCCCTCGCCTGTGCGTGCTATAATGGGGATGGGATAGAATGCTCCTCCTCTAAATGGAGGCTTGAAGTCCAGAAATTACAACTCCTTCCAAACTTAGTATTTCTGAAACCCTGTGAAGTAAGTATGGGATCACTCCTGTGCCATAACAGAGGCCCTTTCCACAAGACCAGAGCTCGGGGCCTCCCTTGGTGGCACAGCGGTTGAGCGCTGGGCTGCGAAGCTGCCCGCAGCCTCTGCAGCACTGGTTCAATCCCTGGCTGCCGGGCGAGGGTCCCCACATGGCGTGCAGACCTCTCCTGCCGCCCGCTGCTCCCCTCAGCAGTGTACTTCGGTCCTTCTGCCTGCTCTGCTCCCTGTTCTGGCTCTGGTGAATTCTCTCACCCTCCCGCGCTTCTGACTGTACCCAGTGCTTGTATAAATAACTAAATAAATCTTCAAAAAAAAAATCTTTAAAAAAAAAAAAAAAAGACCGCAGCTCATAGGAACTCATTAACTCATAGTCCCTTAAACCCTTGCTTTTGATGAAATGCCTCTTGCTAATAACATTTACCACTTCATTTTGGTTCCCAGCACATAATTCCTTCTTTCTATATTTTTTACTGGAGATTCTCAATAATGAGGCTAAAACATTCAAAGACATTTTGCCAATCAAAGACGTTTAGTCCTGGATCGTAATAAATTAGGTTAAATGAGAGTGGCAGGGAGCAGTTCCTGTGGGGGTGGTTTTGGAGTTTATCGCTTCTCAAGAGTAGGACAGGTGCTGCTGGCCGAGGACAGAAAACTAGCCCGCTTTGAATGCCCACATAGCCAGGAAATGGACTGAAAGAATCCGTATCATTTCTCTGCTGAAGTTCTTAGTCTTGTGGTTTCATTTACTTTTCTGAGTACCTTTATCTTGCTCTTGTTGATGGTACTGTTGTTGCCGTGTGTTAATAAAGTCCTTTTTTGGAAACTGTACTCATTTAATGTTCTCCTTTCTAGGATCAAGCGGGCTTTTCTTATTGAGGAGCAGAAAATCGTTGTGAAAGTGTTGAAGGCTCAAGCACAGAGTCAGAAAGCTAAATAAAAATGAAGCTTTTTTGAATAATAAAAAAAATCTAAAGTCTTGTGCTGTCATTTCTGTTGTGATGCATTAGTGTCCAGGTTTGGTTTCTGTGGATCCCGGACTTTGAATTTGAATTGATTGCTTTTGCTTAGAATCATTGGTTGCTGTAGTTTCAGTGGTAGCTCTAACCTAACCAATGCCTTTCTTTCCCTTAGTCACCGGAAATTTGGGGCATTTGACAACACGGGCTGCATGTTTCTCTTAACACCATGGGGTCATTTCCATAGCACTGCCTTCGCTACAGTTCCCAGCACAGAAGCCAGGGTGCTCAAATTGGAACATTTTTAATAGCCTCTTTCAGGGTTTAGTTAATCTGAGTTTACATTAGATTTATAAGCCAGGCTAGAGTATTTCTTAGAAGCTACATGGTACTTTCTGACCACTCTTAATGATGGAAGGGTATGGAGATTTTTTAGTAGTTCATTCCTACATTACTTAAGCTATACATAGTACCTGCCAAATAACACACATACTTAAAACTCGTTTGTCTCCCAAGACCGTTTTCTCTTCAGGCCATATCAAAGGCCTTTTACCATCTAAAAGGAATGTAGAGAGTAGGCTATTTGCCCCACAGGCTATTTGAACAAGTCCTGAGATTTAGACTCTGAAAGTTGTCGGCCCTTTTCCTCAATGTAGACAGCACTTCACTTTAAGGCATGCTGTGACTCACATGGCTTGTGCACAAGAGTTTCCTATTATTACAGTAAATAATTGCCCTTAGGAGGGGGAACACAAAACTCTTGTCTGCATCTCTTGCCAGCTAACTTGTTTTGGCAGAAGTGATTTTTAATATTTTTTTCAGGAGTGACCTCTCAATGAGTAGCTGGCATTTGCAATCCAGCTGTTGAAATGTCTGACAATACTTCATAAATGACCAGACTTGCCCTGTGCTTCAACAAGGCACTTAGCATCCTTGAATATTCCCATCTGTCCAGTGACACCTTTATTGTCCCCATTTTATAGGTGAGATGGGCTCATAGGTGATAACTACCCAGGACATTTTGTGTTGCTAGAATTTTAGCAAATGTGTATTTGGTCATGAGATCTAATGATTGGGCGGCCCCAAGGAAGACTAATAACAAGAAATGACATCTGAGGCCACTGTTGTCAACATCCGAAGTCTCAGGCACTCGATCCCATAGGTTTTCCCCAAATTCCTGTCATCCCAAGGATTAACTAACCACGATGTGCAGTTACTCTGCGTGTTTAACCTCAGTATTAAATGAAAAGATATAATTATGAAAACCACTGGGTTCTGAGAGAGAGGAGTTAGCACCTCATTTCTCCCTTTGTGAGACTTGTATTCTGTCCTACAGATAAGTTTAGTGATCTTGTGTGCTTTTAAATGAAATCTAAAAGTATGAGTAACCCTCAAGAAACCCTGTGCCTTTAAGTTCAGCTACTTGTCGATTGCTCTGTAGGTTGATACCTTCTAGGCCTCAGATGTCATTGAAGGGAAAGCCTGATTGTGCTAGCCCAGCATGAATTCTTCCCTCACAGCCATTCCCTCTACCACTCCTAGTTCCAGAAAACAGAGCTCCTCAAACAGTCTCTAACTGGTGAAGACTTAAGTTTTTAGCAAAATAAGTGGGCTAACTAAGAAATCTGAGTAAGCTAAAGCATTAAAGTTGCATACGCTGAATAGAATTCTTCATGTTAAGTTTCCTAAGTTGAGTATTTCCATTTTTATAACATCTTGGAAAGCATGGGAAAACAAGGGAAAATTCCCCTTGAATTTCAGTACACAGATAAATCATTTTTTTTTAAGTTTGATGTTTCCCATTCTGTTTTCTACGCAAAAGATAAGATACAACATCAAAGTTGGCAGCATACTACATATGTATTTTTAACCCTTCCCCTTCCCCGCCCTCTTCTGCCCCTTAACCCTAGAAAACATTTCCTTGGGAAAATAATTTTAGTGGTTGCATACGCCATCAAATCCATGTGCCGTAATCTGGTTTTGTTTTGTTGGGGCAGGCATGGGTACTGTGCCCTAATTTAAATAGTCCCTTATGAACATCTAGGCTCTTTCCAATTGTTCTCTGTGTTAACACTTGAGAGTGTTCTTATGTATCTGATTATTTCATTTATGCGTATTGTTTTTTAAACTCCTAAGCTGTCTTGAAGTACAATACTTAGTTGAGTATAATCATCAGGGTTACAATGAATGTTTCCAAAGAGTCTCAGCCTGCCTGGGCTGCTGTAACAAATTACCTTGGACTGGGTGGCTCAAACGACGACGTTTCTCAGCTCTGGAGACTGGGAAGTCTGGGATCAGGGTGCTGCCTGATCCAGTTCTGGGTGATGTCCCTTCTGGGTTTGCAGACAGTAGCCTTGTATCTTCTCAAACTAGCCAGTGCCATGTTAAGGCTATATCCCTGAGACTTAATTACCTCCCAGGACTCATTTCCAAATACCCCCACACTGGGCATTAGGGTTCCAACGTAGGATCTGGGAGGACAGTCCATAGCACCAGGAATATAAAATGCGCCTGGTTGAGGCACATTTCTGTGCCTGCCAGGCTCTAAGTTCTTGACCACAGCCAGGACTTCACCACCAACACCCCCAACCATTGCTAGGCCTGACCTCTTCACCTTTCCTCTCTCCCCAAAATTCACAGAAGTGCTGAGCATTTCTGTTTGTGTGAAGACCTAGAACATTCACTGGCATAATCGAAGTATCTACTTTGTGCAAGTGACCAAAGTGGATTCTGTAACTGTTGTGGGTTTTGATTTGCCTTAAAAAAAGAAGCAACAGCTTTTATTGAATCCAGTTCTCTGTGTGACTTAAAGTATTCTTGACAGGTTCCTAAAAAGACATGTGAATGTAGTCAGTGGTTTCTTTTTAAAGTCTAGTATTTCTCCTTCCATTGAATTGCTTATAAATTCTATTAGAAAGATTGGAGGGGGGGAGGGGGCCTTTTACCCTTTAAAGCAGAAAATCTCCATATGTTTAAGTAAGCGAGTCAAGTTTATTTTCAGCAGTGTAATAACATACAGTTTTCACCCTAATGATTTGCAGCTTGGGCTCCCACAATTTTGATAGCTGCAGCTATGCTCCAGCTTAACTGAGCACTGTGTATGTTATCACACCACCTAAAATCATACATAATTCTTGCGGAGTAAGAGTGTGGATAATTCTCAGATTACTTGTTACTGGTCAGAGCCCTGTAACTGTTAAGAATTCCAGTAGCACCAGTGGTGCATGCAGCCAGCTCGTGGATTTTGAGACCATTAATGTGCATCTCTTTCCAGCTCTGTTCAGTAAGGTCAGGCAGCTACCTTGACATTGACTTTATGACAGTATTTATACCTGAGCAAGAGGCAAATGCTACAAAATCCTTTCCCCTCCCCCTCTCCAAGTTGCTAGATGTTACCCCGTTACGATTTATCAAAGCTTGAACGTGATGCTGTCTGCATAGGGGTCAGGTATGTGACAGTGAGCTGCACTTAAACATTTTTTGGTGTATATGCTTATATACTGACTGTGAAAAATCTGGGGTTTGATTTTATAAAATACAAAATGAACCTTTTATTGAATCCAGTTCTGTGTGTGTGAATGTAGATGAAAATAGAAGCATCTGGCAAAGGTGAAAGTTTCATCTCTTCCAGCAATATGGACAAGATAACATAAACACCATTATAAACTAGGATTGGAAAATTTACAACTATTTTCACGAGTTTTCTTACTAAAGGTTAAGATCTATAATAATTTGGACTCAAAATTATTATGCTTATTACCTTCCAAAATAATTAGCTGCTTAATTATTTCCAATCTTGCTGTATCTGGTTAATTTGAAGGATTATATACTGTTGCTGTACATTTACATTCCTTTATAATTTGCTGTAGCTTTCATTCACGCAACATACTTAGTAGACTAATGTTATATTCCAGAAACTCCTCTCTTGGGTAAAGAGTAACACAGTATTAATATAATATGAAGTCTACAAAGCAGACTTCCGCTGCTCTGGTGGTACATAGGGGGGAACATGTTAAGTGAGGATTCAGATGCATTTTTAATTGTACACTTTGGGATAAGAATCACAAAGGGAAAGCATACAGCGCTGTGAAAGGAAGTTCCTGGGGAGTTAAGGGGGGCTTTTTCAAGGATGTGATGTTTAAGCTCAGAGCAAGGATAAATACATCTTAGCTGGATGTCAGGTAGGGAGACCTTCCAGATATCAGAACTGACTCGTCCAAATGCTTAAAGTAATTACAGCTTAAATTAAAAAAAAAAAAAAAAAAGTGGCTCAGGGGTTAAAGTCTCAATCCTATCAAGCTATCACTGGCAATATGAGTTGGCTCCCCAGCCAAAGAGCTGACCCACATGGCGCAGCAGACCTGTCCTTCCTCACCTGCTGCTTCCCCTCAGCAGTGCATTTCAGTAGATCCGCCTGTTCTGTTCCCCATTCTGTCTCTGGTGAATCCTCCCACCCCCTGCACCTCTGGCCGTCACCCCAGTTCCTGCATATATATAAACAAAAAAATTTAATTCCCTCTCAATATTTAGAACCTAATATCTGAAATACGTGAACAAATTGTTAATCACTAGGAAGGCGCCTCCCTGTCAGCACGTAACTCTTTGTCCACCTATGTAACCCCACAGCCAAAAGATCTGCTACCTTTTCCTCCCAAAAGAACACTATGAAAGAAAAGTATTCCTGTTTTGTTTTTGTAAAAAGCACAGACACTCCTCTGCATTAGGGGATATTTAAATTATGCACTCCCCTAGATCATGGCACCAACCTGCCATTAAGGAGAAAAAGGATCAAAATTATTGACTGAATTCCCCTGACAATCTTTCGCCTGTATATTCCTTGGCCTCGGCAAGTAGCCTCAGGGCTGTTAAGTCTCCTTCTCTCTGGGGCTGGAACTAAGCTTACAGCTGGCCATGTTGAAAACCCAAATATGGTCTTGATGAAAATTCAGGATTGATTGCATTTTAGTGCAAGTGGATAAAGGCTTTGTAAGGGCCTCCCTGGTGGCTCAAGGGGTTAAGTCTTAGCACTATGAAGCTATCTGCAGCCACT